AGCCTTACAATACTGAAGGAGTCTACGAGCAAAATCTTCAATAATGCGGGAAGCATCAAAAGAAACTAGAAGGAACACAGAGTCAGTGTACCAAAAAGAAATTGGTCAACACAGAACCATTTCAGGGAATAGCATATGATCAAGAACCAATGATAAGAAATGAAGAAGTTCAAGCTGTGCTGAAGATACTGGCAAAAAAATAAGACCCTATGCACACCCATGTTTATTGCGGCTTTATTCACAGTAACAAAGAGCTGGAAACAACCCAAGTGCCCATCAACAAACGAATGGATTGAGTAGCTCTGGTATATTCACCCAATGGAATACTATGCTGCATTGAAAAACAAGGAACTCATTAAAAATGGGTGACCCTGGAGGGCATTATGCTGAGTGAAATATCTCAATCACAAAAGGACAAATATTGCATAGGGATACTGTTGTAAAATGGGACTGACATCAGGGTTGAGGGAAGATAGAAAAGGAGGGAAGGAATGATGTATATTGAGTTGAAACAGATGAGGCAGAGAACTGTTTAAAAGGGACACATGAATGGGTATTGTTGTCATTACAGAAGTCCAGAGTGAAGGCTGCATAGTGGAGTGCACTTGGGGGGAGGGATTGCATAACTATGAAAGAGGTTTTTTGTTTTTTCAAAGAGAAGAGTGAATTGGTGGGGGGAGGGAGAAAAGTGCAACAATGAATGACTGGAAACCCTAAGTCTTTGTAAACTGTCATTAAAATTAATTGAACCCCCCAAAAAATAATACCCCAGGAATTGATTGGATACCAACTGACATGTTTCAACAGATGTTGCCCTTATATGCTCATTAGCCAATGCCAAGAAATTTGGAAAAGAGCTATCTGGCCAATTGGCTTGAAGAGATCCTTATTTGTTCCTTTTTTTTTTTTTTTAAAAAAAAAAAGTAAACTTCACAAGTTAGGTATTGATTTTCAAAATCATTGTTCCTGCATGCTTTGTAGTGTCCCATCATGTGAATACGCCATAATTTCTCAATTCATTTGATCATGGTTGGACATTTGGGCTGTTTCCATGCTACGTGAACTAACTCAGCCACATAAGGACAAATACTGTATAAGACCATTACTGCAGAAATAAAAAAACTAACTAGTAAAACGTGTATGAGGATACAAGTGGGCAAAGGTAAGAACAGAGGAGTAAGAGTGGGTAGGGGGTAATCATAGGGTCACATAATTTGATGGGTGGAGAGAGGGGTGGGTAAAGGAAATGGGAAAGACAATGTGAAAAAAAATGTATACTAACTTTGTAAGCAAACCAGTATAAAATGAAGATTTTTTTTTAAAAAAAGGTAAACCTATATATAAAAAAAAAAAAACAAAACCTAATGGAAATTAAAACTAAATGGTATTTGATTATATATAAAAAAAAGGTAAACCAACATAATGTGGAAATTATCAGACAATAACATTAATACCATATGCAAGTAAAGTCTTGCTGAATATTATTGTTAAAAACAGCTATAGCAATGTATATATATGTAACTACTATACAGTCAACAGAGGCTGTGGAACGAGGAATATTATTGATGTCCCGTGGATCTTGGTTGAAAGCAGAGAATTCCAGAAAAGATGTTTCCTTGCACTCTATTGACTATCCAAAGGAATTTGAGTGTTTGGATCATAACAAATTATGACTAACCTTGAGAAGAAAGTTCAGAGTACATAATTGTGCAAATGTGAAGAGTATATATACACCAAAAGGACAAGGAAAGCTCCATGGTTTAAATCAGGAAAGGGGTGCCTCATGGCTGCTTCCTTTTCTCTCTATATATCCAATCTGTATGCTAAACAAATCCTAAGAGAATCTGGCCAACGTGAAGAAGAATGTGGCATCTGGAGTGGGCAAAGACTAATCAACAATCTCCATTATGCAGTTGGCATAGCCTTGCTTGCCAGAAGTGAAGAGGACTTGAAACACTTGCTGCAGAAGATCCAAGACTACAGTCTTCAATATGAATTATCTCTCTAATTCTGTACTCTAAACAGGCAACACCATGATAGACAAAGAAAAGACTGACATCAAAGATTTCATTTTACTCTGATCCACAATCAGCACCCATGGTCATGAAATTCAAAGAAACATACCCTTAGGAATATCTGCTGTCAAGGATATCGCCACAGCTCTAACACTCAAGGATGTCATTCTAAAGACGAAGTTGCATCTGGTCTAAGCCGTGGTCTTTTCAGCTGCTTTCTATGCATCTGAAAGTTGGGCAATGAATAAGCATGGCAGAAGAAGAATTGATGCCTTCGAATTGTTGTGTTGGAGAGGAGCGCTGAGTATCTCATGGATTGCCAAAAGAACGAACACATCTGTCTTAGAGGAAATGCAGCCATGTCGCCTTTAGAGGCCTAGGAGGGGGAAGCTCAGTCTCACATACTTTAGGCTTGTTGTCAGGAGGGACCAGTCCTTGGAAAAAAGACATCATGCTGGGAGATGTTAAGGGTCAGGGAAAGAGAGGAAGCTCTTTAAGAAGACAACTTGACACCGTGACTGAAACAATTGGTGCGAGTACAGCAGAGAATGGAAAGATGGTTCAGGGCAGAGCAAGGCTCACGTCTGTTGTTCATTGGGTAGATAAAACTCGTAGTTGACTTAATGACACCTAACAACAACAACAGCTTCCAAACGGGAGCTCTGGTGGGCTAATCCGTAGGGAGTTGTGCAGCTAACTCTGAGACTGACTCTCTGGTGGTTCAAATCCACCCATGACTGTGGGAGGAAGCTGGACAATCTCCTCCTGGTGATTTATAACCTCAGAAATCCAATGGAGAACCAGCTATGAGTCTGTTCAGCCGCAACAGTAACGCGAATGAGGCGTTTTCAAAATTCTCCTATCTTAGATCCACTCACGCAAGTAATACACATCAGCTGGAATTTTTTTTTATTTAAAAAAAACAACAACCCATTAGGTACTTTCCATTCAGTGTTTAAGAAATATAAAAATATACTTGAACTTGTTTAACTATTTTTGTTTATTTGCTGGTTTGTCTGTTTTTAATTTCTAGTTTTCTAATGTAGGAAAAAAACCCACAAAAATCACTTACAAATTATTAACAAAAAAATATTATTATCTTATATTCCTGGAAGGGAGTTCTGGTGGCTTAGTGGTAAGGAGTTGCACTGTCAACCCAAAGGCATGCAGTTCAAATCCACCAGCTGCTCTGAGGGAAAAAGATGGGCAATTTCCTCTTTTTAAAATTTTTTCATAGTTCTGTTTTTTTATTTTTTTATTGACATTGTAATGAAAGTTTATAGAGACTTTGGATTTCTATTCATTCATTGTTGCACATTTTCCTCCCTGCCCAACCCCCAGTTGCTTTTCTCTTTGAAAAGTAAAAACAAAACATAATCTTTCATTATGATACAATTCCCCCCCTCTCCAGTCCACTCCCGCCATGCAGTTCTCATTCTGGACTCTTGTCATGAAAATAATACCTAATCATGTATTCCTTTCAAACAGTTCTCTCTTCATCTGTTTCAATGCAGTGTGCATTATTTATCCTCTATTTTCTTAGTTTCCCCCAACCTCAATGTTAGTCCCATTCTACAACAGTGGCACTATGCAGTATTTGTCCCTTTGTGACAGATATTTCACTTAGCATAATGTCCTCCAGGGTCACTCACTTTGTATAATATTTCATGAGTTCCTTGTTTTTCAATGCAGTGTAGTATTACATTGTGTAAATATAACACAGCTTCTATCCATTCATTTGTTGATAGGAACTTGGGTTGTTTCCAACTCTTTGCTGTTGTGAACAAAGGCACAATAAACATGAGTGTGCATATATCTGAGTGGGTCGCAGTTATGGTTTCTTTAGGGTAGGTTCCCTGTAGTGGAATTGCTGGGTCAAATGGTATTTCTGTTTGCAACCTTTCGAGAAAGCACCACAGCCTTCCACAGTAGCTGCATCATTTTACACTTCCACCAACCGTGACTAAGGGTTCCAGTTTCTCCACAACCTCGCCAGCATTTGCTGTTTGCGTAATCTCCTCTTGTGCAAATTTACTACCTCTGAAAACCTGCAGGAAGGTCAGCTATGAGTCTGTTCCTACTTGACCATAAATAACAACAACAGTGACATATCTGCTAAAAGATAACAATGGCATTTGAGTTCTAATTTCCCAACAGCTTCCCCATGAAAAGAAAACAGGAATGAAATTATTCCCAGCAAAGAAAGACTTTATCTCTAGGATATCTAAAAAAAAAAAAAAAATTAGCAAATGCATGTTGGACCTGCAACACAGTTTCTTGGGACTAAAAATCACATTTCAGTGAAAGTTGTAAATTAAAAATTGGCTCATTAATTAAGACTGTTTCTTTTTTTGAGTCGTAATAATAAACCCACAGGAACAAAAAACACATAAAAGGCTCAGGGGAGGAAAAATCACATTCTCTTGGAGGAGAAAAATGTCTTTGCCAGCAGGGTAAGGAATCCGTTATTCTGTGTAGCTTTCGGAAGGAAGGTCACACATTTTCTTATTGATTTTACTTCATATTTGGTAGCAAAATAATGTGAGAAGAGGCAGTAAGCATTCCTAGCCACAAGCCCGGATGTTAAAAAATACGTGTCAAGACAGTTTCCGAATTCCATCATTTTACCAGCAATTTCATGGCAAATAGGCTCTTGCATGCTACATCATAGACAGAAAATGGGTGAACTTTGGGAGGCTGTTTGGTAACATGTTACTTATAAACACCTACCAGTTCTATTCCAGATGTGCGTTCAGAATTCCATGCCTGCTCAGTTACATAGCGGGGGTCACACCAACCACTGGCTTCATGTGGAAGCCGGATCTCAGATGGAAGACGTGCTCTCGTCACTTATTTCTATTTTAAGGTTGAAAGGATCATTTATCTTGTGTGCATGTTTGAGACGTCGAGAAGGGGCTTGAGGGCAAATACAGCGTCTTTAACACACCCTCTGAGATAATTGTGCATGTAATTCTGTGTCCGCAGGAAACATACGGAACACGGAGAAGCTGAGTTACGACAGGCAGCGTCAGTATGAAATCCTGGTGACCGCCTATGACTGTGGACAGAAGCCAGCCGCTCAGGACACCTTGGTGCAGGTGGATGTGAAGCCCGTGTGCAAGCCTGGCTGGCAAGGTGGGCCCTCTTTCTGTCAGTGCTGTCAAATGATGTATAGAAGATGCTGAGCTTTGTTCTCTAATCACTGTACCAAACAATTGCTGTTGTTGTTGTTGTTGTTATGTGCCATCAAGTCACCTGCAGCCCACAGCAAGCCCATGCACAGCAGCTCTGAAGCCCGCCCTCTCCTGAGCTAGTCTTACTGACGCTGATGCACCTACTACGCTCATTGTCCTAGTATTAATCCCTCTCCTCCAGGGTCTTCCTCTCCTGTGCCCTCCCTCCACCCTTCTTGTTCTTCTCCAAGAATCGGTCCCTCCTGGTCACATGCCCAAAGTATGTGAGACAGAGCTTCAAAATCCTAGGCTCCAAGGCGAAACTTGGTTTCACTCTCTGCAAGACAGACCTATTTGTTTTCTTGGTGGTGCATGGTACGTTCAAGATTCTTCTCCAGCACCACAACTCGAAGGCACCAATTCTTCTTCTGTCATCCTTAGTCATTGCCCAACTCTCTGATGATGCATAGCAAGTAATGGTGAAGACCATGGACTAAGTATTATGGCCTAAGGTGCACAGTAGTCTCTAGAGAGACATTGTTGCTTTTCAGTACGCTGGAGAGGTCCTTGACAGCAGACTTTCCCAATGCAGTTCGTCTTTTGATTTCCTGACTTCCAAGAGCGTTAATTGTGGAGCCAATCAAGCTGTAGTTGTTAAGAACCTCAATCTTTTACCATCCATTATGGTGCTGCGAATTGGCCCAAGTGCTTCAGGTCCTCTTCAGTTTCAGCAAGCAGGGTTGTGTCATCTGCATAACGCAGGTTGTTGATGTATCTCCCTCCAATCCTGGTGCAACATTGCTCCTCATAAAGCCCTGCTGCCTGAATGATCTGTTCCGCATACAGCTTGAAAAGGTACGGAGACAGGATGCATCCCTGATGTACTCCTTTCCTGACTTGAACCATATAGTGTTTCTTTGCTCTTTTCTGAGGATAAACAGCTAGAGGAATTTTAAAGGATGACTATTCTGTTGCAAACCAGAACAGTTGATTCATTCTGACAACTTTTATGCAGGTTCGTATCCCCATTTTCTCAGGCGACAGTGTCAGAGGCAACTAGTCGGAAATAATGGGCTTAGTTTATCCCGTGGTTTCTTTCCCAAACCCCATGACATCTTTGGATCAATGATAATTATCCCACTGTGCTCAGAAGGAATTACCAGCAAGCCCATTCACTTTATCTGAGAGTGCTAAGGCTGGCTTAAACATGTCAAGCTTTTGCATCAACACTTAGCACCTAGGAGACTGTTGTGTTCCTCAGACCCACACAAAGGGAATACCACCCTCTCCCTGGAGGTCCAGAATCCAACTTCACAATTAGGGGGTTTGGAAAATATTGACTCTGAGGATGGCGAGAATGGCATAAGACAGAGGTGAATGTTATTAGTTTAGCTCTTGTAAGGTGTGTGTTATTGTTGTTAGGTGCCGTCGAATGGAGTATGACTTAGAGTGATCCTAAGACCAGTGGATCTGAAGCTTGTCCTATTCTGAGGCACCCTCACACTTCCTGACACACTAGAGCCCATTGCGGCAGTCACTGGGTCAATCCACCTGGTTGACGGTCTTCCTCTCCCTTGCCGACCCTCCACCCTTCCAACCATCATGTCCCTCTCCTAGGAAAAGTCCCTCCTAGCCACATGCTCGAAGTATGTGACGTGAAGCCTTATCATCCTTGTCTCCAAAGAGTAGTACTCTGGCTGCACCCTCTCCAAGACATATTTATTTGTTCTTTCGGCGGTCCATGAAATGTTCAGTCCATGAAATGCTCTTCTCTACTTTCAAACCTCAAAGGCATCAATTCTTCTGTCCTATCTATTCATTGTCCAGCTCTCAGATGCATAGCAAGTAATCAGAAAGACCATGACCTGAATCAGATGCACTTTATTCTTCAAACTGAAATCATTACTCCTCAGTAATTTGGAGAGGTCCCTAAACTGCGGATGTCCCCAGTGCAATGTGTCTCCTTATTTCCTGACTGCTGGTACCAAGGGTGTTAATTGTGGATCCAAGCAAGATGAAGCTGTTGGCAGTCTCAGATAGTCAGATTACCCCTGGATGCTGGGGAAGCAGGGAAGGCAAGTTCAGTTGCTTAGATCGATCACGTAGACAACTTGATGCACTAACCACAGCTCTCGTGGTGATGTGCATGCAGTGTGGATGCAGGAGTTCTCTCTGTGCCTTCCGACCAATCGGCTTCCTGTGTTGCTGATGCTGCTGACTGACGATTCCCGTAGCTTCTTGAATCCATCCATCTGTGATGCCCACTCACTGCTTATCTTCATATGTCTTTAAGCTTCTGGCCTCCTGTGGATATGTAGGTGTGCATGTGTGTGTATGTGTCTTTTGTTGTTTTTATGTGCCATCGAGTCGTTTGTGACTCATAGCGACCCTATGTACAAGAGCCCTAAATGCCGTTCTATCCTGTGCCAATCTCGCTGTCTCAAAGATCACTCCACTCACAGAATCGATCCATCTCATCGTGGGTCTTCCTCTCCTGCGCCGTCCCTCCACTCTCCCAAGCATGGTGTCCCTCTCCAAGGACCAGTCCCTCCTTGCAACATGCCCAAAGTATGTCAGACGAAGCTTCAGAATCCTTGACTCCAGGGAACATTCTGG